AAAACCATTTCCAACACTAATTTTGGAAAGTGGCAGCAAAGCTAATATTTATTTATTTCAAATGGCAGGCGTTATGATAGGTATCATTAACCCTTTAGTTGACTTCAGGCTTCACAGAAAGGAAGATAAACAGTAAAGTGGCAAAACGTCGAGAGGAGGACAGAATAATGATTCACAGACGTAAAAGAGACAGACAGACACAAAGGTAGAAAAAGGTGAGGTGAGTACTGTGAAATTATTCGAATATGAAATGCAGTGGGGTCTTGGTAGTTTGAAGTCAGAAGTCAACTGCCGAATAATAGACTTTTTTGCCGTATGAGTATACGTTGCCCAGGGTGCACCACGTGGAGGCAAAGCTAATATGACTCGATGGTTATCTTAATGCATATTTCCATCAGAACCCAACCCGCATTTCATAGTTAGGTCTCACGCACAATTTGGTTAATCTAGTGAGTGTCGGAATCAGTACAATTCTAACCTTCCCCCTTCTCTCTTTTAGGGGTCACCTGCCTTGCGAGGACTCGCCATAACTGTCTATAATATCATACTTCGATATTGCATACTCTCTTTGCAGATTTACGAGTCTTTGTCCTCTAGTTTTCATCACTGTTGTAAAATAACCTTTGCTCGTCAAATTTCTAGCTTCGAAAGTCGAATGACCCCAACTTTTATGCTGACAATGAGATAATGTATACAACCAAAGGTACCGTGTCATGGTTGCGAGCCATATTGTTTAAATAAATTTCAAAAAATAGCCAAGTTTACGAATCAATCTTCTTTTCTTCTTTATTTTGCTGTAACTAGGGGAACCGTAAACTATATTTGGGCTAAAATATTGGCAAAATGAGATGGGAAATCTGCTTCTATGCTAGAAATTTCTTGAAAAAGATGTATGACTAATTCATTTGAATCATAGCTTACAATATTAACCTGAAAGACTTTGCTAATTTTGAATATTTGAAAATTATTTGAACTTAAATGTTACATTTTTATCCCTCTTTGCTATCAATTAATTGATACCCCTTCAGGAGTTTCGTTTTGGTCGCGTAAATTTCACGCGAGCTTCCAATAGAGCAGAAAATGCTTGATCATTAATTCACCTAAAAGCAGTTTCCATTTGTGGACCGGTCAACCATCTGAACCATGATCCTCAAGAAAGTTGCGTGGTAAAGCGGTTGTTTTTGGATTGGATCTCAGCTAATCGTAGTAAGACGTGCTTATGCTAAATTTAACCAATGACAGCATAACAGTCAAAATTCTTCTTGTCTCTTCCGCAAGTATGTGCCAGTCACATAAATCAGGACCGAAGTTTCATTACTAGTGATTGAACTCATTTTGAGACGTGGGAATGTTCTAATTTAAACGAGTGGATTAATATAGGGATAGACAAGATACTTAGGACTCATGCATGTATCATTGCAATAGCGTCAGGCGTAATGTGAACCCATCTATTTATGTTTGCGTGTAAGTTGGTACGCATTCAAAAACCAACAAATCCACAAATTGGAAATGTGGAATTTTTCAATTGGATGAGGGAAAGCATCTTATATTTCACACTCTTAATTCCTTTAATTTCACTCAAACCTACACCACTCACCTCAATTGCCTAACCGGTAGGTCAATAATTCTTATTTAAATTATATATTACCGTGAATATTGAAAGTTCTGGATATAATTCTAAAAATAGGAACACGAAATTAGTAATTAATTATTTGCAGTGTTTAAAAATTATAATGGAGTTATGGAGTCGCTTATAACACTTTTCTCCTGAAATAATTATGAAGGGCAATTCAAGGCTCATTATATTATCGATTCTGAAAATGATTGAAGACTTGAATGCTTTCTAGAGTGGGGTGAATGTTGTTATTAATTCTATGCTCATGTTAATTTTTATTTTCATTGAGTGTTTAAGCAATATTAATGTGAACGTTAATCATCATTAATCATCAAGGTCGGGGAATCGGTATTGGTGTATTTTAATTGCTTAAAAATGCCATGGTGGGAATTTTTCACTTTCCTTAGTTTTTTAAAAACTGAAAACTAGCAAAATGTTTGGCCATGGATATAAGCTCGTTCAGAAATATGAACCACTTGGAGTTACCTTCATAATAGCATTTTGAATTTCTTAAAATTAAAATAAAATAATTGAAATATGAAATCAATCCGTAAATCAATAAATTCTCAAAGTTTAGTTTACATGGGCTTTAAGTCAGCTCATCGGTCAAATCAATAATTGCAATATTGACTAAAAAATTTTAGGCCTTGAGTAGAGTTGGAGTTCGTGATTTTCTGATGGAAGGTTTCAAAGCTTCAGGATGTGTAATTTATTATTTTCTAAAACCAATCGGTCACAATGTTTTTAGTCATAGGATCATACCTTTTATACAAGTTTTCTGCTTGCGATATTTATTTATTTATTTGCGATATTGTGCTTATCTACTTGAGATACAATAAATTTCCTTTCACCTGCATTACAGTAGTATTTTAAAAATTCCGTTCAAACTAAGGTTTATAGACTGCTCTTCCCGAAATTTTGATAAAGCCAATGAATTCCAGAGAATCAAGCAGATTAAGGGCGAATAAGGACACCAGCAGGTCTCGACACCATTCAAGGTAAGAGAAAATTTAATATTTTGCTACCAATACTTTAAGTTTTTAATTAATATCTTTCGTAGTTAGCATAACGGTTTTAATGACTTTTTCTTGAGTTAAGGTGTATGAGTTCAAAATTTATTGCTATTCTTTTACAAGTCATAAAAGTGTAGCGGATTGCTACCTTAGTGTCTCGAACATGTAGCGGATTGCTACCTTCGTAAAGCCTTGGTTAAAGACTTGTAGCGGATTGCTACCTTAGTAAAGCCAGACCGGTTGAGAATTGTAACGGATTGCTACCTTAGTAAAGCCTGACCGGATTGCATTGTAGCGGATTGCTACGCTAGTAAAGCCTGACCGAAATCTCTATGGCAGATTCTCCAACACCTAGCTAGACTCCCAGAACAGCTAAGCTATAGCTCCACGGATTGCTACGCTAGTAAAGCCTGACTGACTCAGAAATATTGCTACTCTAGTAAAGCCTGACTAACTCAGAAATCTCTGGCTACGCTAGTAAAGCCTGACTGACTCAGAAATCTCAATGGGAGATCCTCCTACATCTAGCTAGACTCCCAGAACCAGCTAAACACCTTAGTAAAGCCTGACTGACTCAGAAATCTCGATGGCAAATTCTCCAACATCTAGCTAGACTCCCAGAACCAGCTAAGCGAAAGGAAACAGACGTGTAGCACGGAGCACGCATAAAGGAAACAGACGTGTAGCAAGGAGCACGTTTATTCAAGACGCATATTGCGGATCAAGTGTACACGCAGGGAGATTCTCATGATCAGGATGGGGGATTAGGTTAAACAGAGGTTGATGATTGGTCACGGATGGGGGATTAGGTTAAACAGAGGTTAATCATGATCAGGATGGCGGATTAGGTCAAACAAACAGAGGCTAGTGGTCACTGTTTGTACGGTCGCTGCACACAGAGTTGTACGGCCCACCTCCCAATCCTGGCGAGCAGACATGCAGACATACGATGGTGCACACAGCGATAACGTGTCCCACATAGCAGACATGCAGACATACGATGACGCACACAGCGATAACCTGTCCCACAAAAGTAACTTAATTCGATAGTACTATTTTTTAATTACTATTAACTATTAAAAATAATATTTAATACAATACCAGTTAATGCAAATTGATAAAATTCCTATTAGAATGATTGAAAAGTTTGCAAATTATTTAGTTACAAGTAGTTCGTACATTTATTGACTCCGTTTTTTGCAATACATCAACTTATATTGCCATTAAAAAATATTTGTCATACTTTTGCAGTCATAAAAGAGGCGATATTATGAGAAGTGCCGTGGTTCTTTACTCTGAAACTAAAGAAGAGATGATGAAGAAAATAATGCTAATAGTCGAAGAACAAACTGCTAAATCTGACTCCGAAACAGTAAGGATTGTACTATGCTTTTATAAGTTTTCTCGCAATACTTCATCTAAATCACCTTTCTTCTGCAGTCAAGAATTCGTAATATAAAGGACCGATTGGACGAGACTTTCGGTCCGAACTGGAATATTTTCATGGCCGATTGTCGATGCTGGTCGTTGAAGACCTACAAACAGGGCACAAATGTTGTCTTTGAGTATAATAATGTGGTGTACGACATTTATCAGGCACCAGAAAATACACGCAATGTTCAAACGAAAGGACCTTCTTACAAAATGAACAATTAGTCACTTCTTACTTTATCTGGAATTTTTCATCTTTTCTTTCCTTTCTTTTGACAAATATAATACTATTAACGGTTTTTTTATTTATTTAAGATTATCACTTTTATAATGTCCACCACATGCTCCACATAATGTGTATCTGAAAAGTCACTAACGTTGCTAGACTTTCGTTTCCTCTTTCTCTCTTAATGGGAAAGGATAGATTGGAATCGATTTATAAATTTGTTGGCGCGTTTAAAAACTATTTATTCACTTGAGTAGGTGTACTCGATTTTTTTTACTCAACACCGAGATTTGATTGAGTCATGTATTTTTTTCAAACAATGTTGCAAATTATGCGCTTGTGTGAACGAAAAATTATAAAAAAATGATACACAATATTGTTTTAAATATATTTGATCAATTATACCTTTGAGTTTTATTTATTCATGTAATTTTTTTGCTTTAGTATTGCATTTAGTTAATTCCAAACTCCCTGCTTCTTAATTTATAGTGTTTCCATGACAATGCTTGCAACGTAAGGCTTTTCCATTATCTTGTTACGCAACATCAATCACAATTACGCATATTTATCACAGAGGGTCGCATGCTGAAAAAAATAAAGCCTGATACTATGGGAGAAGACGCAGTTTGTCTTAATGTAACATTATCTTTCATTTGTAGCGGATTGCTACCTTAGTAAAGCCTGATTGATTCAGAAATCTCTATGGCAGTTTCTTCTTCATCTAGCTAGACTCCAAGAACCAGCTAAGCTATAGCTCAGCTATAAAGGAAACAGACGTGTAGCACGGGGCACGTTTATTCAGGACGTATATTGCGGATCAAGTGTACCCGTAGGGGGCCTAATCATGATCAGGATGGCTGATTATGTTAAACAGAGGTGGATGATTGGTCACTGTTTGTACGGTCGCACCTCCCATTCATGGCGTGCAGGCGATAATGAATTTTTGCGCTTCTCATTGTTGAGAAGTTTTAAGAAATTTTTATAAAAGACGAATTTTAGATTTATATTTTAATTAGTTTTCAGTTTTGGTATTAAAAATGATATGTGTCAAAGGGGGTGTTGACAACGGAAGAATAGTAGGTAGGCTAAACAATAATTACACTGTAGCGGATTGCTACACTAATGAGAATTGACTAAACTCTGAAATCTCTATGGCAGATTCTCCTATGTTTGGAAAGACTCCCAGAATTAGATACAGAGGAAATAGACGTCCCACAAGGAACGAGTTTACTTGGGGTGCGTGTGTGGGTGTGTGGTGTCTGTACAGACAGGAAGCTTGGTCACTATATTAATATGGCGGGTTTGATAAACCCAGCGAGGACTATTGTTTATCGGTTGGCTAAGTGTTCTCCTCACTCACGGTCGCACTTACTCCCTACGCGAAGTTGCATGGTTGCACATTCCAGCCTGTTTGAGTGCGCATGAGATCACTTGTTCAGAGGTGGCACTGTGTGACCCACACCACCAATTAAGCAATTGCATGCATGTGGACCAGGAATAACAGAAATAACATTATGCCAAGATGGTTGCTTACTCCCCCCCCTCCCCAACCTCCGTTGTGATTTAATATTCATTTATATAAAATGGTTGGCTATTCTATTGTTAGCAGTAGCCCATTTATTGGCTTCGGGCTTCACAGAGGGGGGAACATCAAAGCCGCAGATGTAAAAGACAGACAGACACAAAGGTAGAGAAAAAGGTAAGGTGAGGTGAGTACTGCGAAAGTGGTCGAATATGACATACAATTGGGTCATGATAATTCGATGTCAGAAGTCAACTATCGGTTTATAGACATTTTTGCCATATGCATCTACGTGGCCCATGTCGCGCATCCTGTCAATCAAATACACTTAATCTACAATTTCCTTATGACGCATGAATTAAATATTATAGTCCGCATTACCGATTACCTATCTTCACTGAAAGTTTGCTGGTCTGAATATTGGTGAAGAACAAGGTATTTGAAGCCTTTCATCACAAAGGACGTCCGTCAAGTTATATAAGAACATAGAGCCTAATTTTGTTATGTCTAATGATCCGGGATCAAGATTCTACCATATACGAATCCGGGCTAAAGGAACATGGGGGACATCTGGTTGAAGAATATATATATATATATATATAGATTTCTGAATAAAATTTAAATAATCAGAAATATCATGTGATTAGAGGTTTCTTTAATCTTATGAGTAGCTAAAAACAAAGAAGAATACATTTTTTACGAAAAATTTTTGAATTTCAGTTTCGTTAAAATATCCAAGAGAATACATGGCCTTGTCCTTTAGTTTAATTAGTCGGCAAAATATGAGATATTGTCAATTAGGTTGCAGATTTAGCGCATTCAGTAACAAAACGTTTGATAACGTCATAAATCCCAAAACCCTCATAGGTAGTTGACAAGATTGGGACCAATTAGACCATATCGGGGGGGGGGGGGGGGGGGGTTAAAGCTAAACATAATAAATTTGCCCATCAATTATTTATATTAAATGACAGGCGTTTTGATAGTTATCATTAGTCCTTTAGTTGACTTCAAGCTTTACAGAGGGGAAGGAACATCAAATTGAAAAAAATGCGAGAGGGGAAGGGAACAGAAGAGTGTTTCAAAGATGTAAAAGAAACAGACACAAATGTGCAGAATAAGATAAGGTGAGGTGAGTACTGCGAATGGGGTCGAATATGACGTACAGTGGGGTGATGGTAGTTTGAAGTCAGAAGTCAACTGCCGGTTAATAGACTTTGTTGCCGTATGAGTATACGTTGCCCAGGGTGTAACACGTTGAGTTAAGTCTATCACACACCCATTTGCCCATCATAGGATATCTTTATTCAGAGAACTGATAGTGCAGCAATGCTTTAATTAGTGCTAGATGTAAAGAAGGGTACTCACAAGAGTATTGTCAGTGTTTTTTCGTCTAAGGCTGGTTCATTAACTTCTCATTAAGACTCCCAATTTTTCAAGCTGAATAGATTTTAAGGAATTCGCTTCTACTATCGTATTAATGGCTTAACAATCTGTTCCAGTATAAATTTATTATTTTGTCAATTAGGACGTTCTCTTGTTGGTTAAAACTAAGTTACTTTTATTCCAACTCCAATATTTTAAAATGGATCATTTGAATGCGAACTTGCACATGCAATTGAGTACTATATGAAAATATAGGTAGTTTCAAATACTCGTCTTCTTGAACCACTGTGGTAGTTGCCCTAATCGCAATTGTAGATCTCTAGAAATATTGGCTCAATTCCGAATTCCCCAATTTGGAGATCTTTTTGCCTCAATAGAGGCCAAATTTTAAATTACGCTTACAATATACACGAATATCTTTTTTGTTACAGTGTGACGAAGTAAACAATAGTACCAGCATTATTTATATAAATGGCAGGCGTTCTGATAGTTATCACTAGCCCTTCAGTTGACTTCAGGCTTCACACGAGGGGAAGGAACATCAATGTAGAAAAAAAGTCAAGAGGTGGGACTGGGGGGAACAGAAGAGTGCTTCAAAGACGAAGGTAGAAAAAAGGTGAGGTGAGTACTGTGAAATGGTCGAATATGGCATACAGTGGGGTCATGGTAGTTTGAAGTCAAAAATCAACTGCCAGTTAATTGACTTTTTTGCCGTATGAATATACGTTGCCCAGGGTGCACCACATGGAGGCTAGTCTATCGCACACCCCATAGTACCAACATAAAAGACCTTAATTAAGATGCCTTCTCATTTTCCTGCAATACTGACACGATTAAACCACCCACCAAAACATTTTGAAGGGTGTGAACGTGCGTGCAGAGACCTTCTCAGTTAATCAGCCATTATTGTTCATACCAGTTGTGTTGAAGGTACACAATTACTCATCATAAAAACTGTGGTCATAGTTTCATAATTTGGTGATTTCAATAACTCTGCACTCGCTATACGACCTCTTCTTGCATCTCATGGAGATAGTTTAACTATTTCTGGGAGCCTATCCGTACTAGAACATTTTGCCATAGAGATAACTGAGAAAAAGTCAAAATTTATTTGTTTTTCGATCCGCTACAACTTTAATCACTACTGCCAATGGTCTATGTTTATTTTTTCATGTGAAGCTTTCAATTGCATATTAACAGGGCAAATTTTCTCAATCCTATCCCAATGAATGCTTTCAACACAGCTACAGCGTATTTTTAAATAGTGCCCAGAAAAGCTTGTGATTGACAATCTGAGTTATTAATCACATACATACAACAACTAACTGAGATTGTTAAATTACCAAAATTTAAATTTCAGACGGCAAGTTCTTAAAATGCCCTCAGATAATGCTACTTATCCGGTATTTACTTAAATGGAATGACAATTGCATGAAATCAACTTTCCGTAATTCAATCTAAACAAGATCTTGTAATAATTCAAAAATTGATATGTGTTTGAAACATTATTACTGTGCACAAAAATTTTTTTAGCATTTAGATCTGCAAAATTTTAATGCTTCTTGAAAATACTACTTTTTATTTGAAGCTAATATACAAATTCTCAGTTAAAAAACCTTGCATACATGGAATCCAGCATATACATATTTTTTCTTCATTAGCAAATTTGAAAGTAATAGTTTAAAAATTGAAACTAAGCCGTAAGTTTTAAAACAATTAGTTGTACTAATTTTTGACCCCTACAATGATTTCATTTAAAAGAAAAAATCTGCAGACAAATTCGCATTTTCCTTGAAGTATTGCATTAATTAGGGTTAGGTGCAACTTTCAAATCATTAAAAATACCCTGTATTTAGTATTTCATATTTCAAGCTATATTTATAACGAGTATCATGTTTAAACAAAACGGTTATATGAGTGATTGAACGGCTTAATTGGATTAAAGGGCGAACCGTGTGTAAGCGAAATAGGCATCAACACAAGTGTGCCAAAAATGCATGCCGTAATTTATGTCGCACACTCAAATGGCACATGCTCGAAATAGCTCTCAGATTAAGAAATCCATAATTGCGCGAGTGTGTGTGTGCGTGTGTGTGCGCGTTAGCTACGCCGTTTTGATGGGGCAGACCTACGCCTGAGAAAGCTCGACGTCAATATGGAGAGGCGCGTGTGTGGGCAGGTGTCTATGCCCTAGCAAATGGTTGAGGCAAAAAATGACAATTATAGAGACCTTGAAATGATTTGATTAAAAAATCAAGAAATAATAAACTGCAATGGTTAGATAAAGGGAAATTATGCTGAACTTGAAGAATTGTAGATTTGATATTGCCCTGATTCTATGGTTGCAGATGACTAAGCCTCACAACTATTAGAAGGAGAAAACACTAATCGGTAAGTAAATTTAACTTCACAGCCACGTGAACCAAATCCATTCTTATGTGACCAAAGTATAGAACTTCAAAGCGCCACATTAGCTCGATGTAGAAGCTTGATTAATTATTATATAAGAATGATTATTATTATTATTATTACTATTGCCTTGCATAAGGCAGCAATTATTCACATGTTATCAGCCAAGAATTAGTAAACATAACTGATTCTGTTTTAAAGATTAGTTATCAATAAGATTGTGAAAAATTCATAGAAGTATTGAGAAAGCTAATTTCACTTTAATGTCCTTTAAATTTCAATATATAATCAGATGATAGATGAATTAAAACAATCGATATTTACTTAAATTCTAATCATGAAATGGATTTTTATAGAAAATAATTACTTAGGCAAATATAAATGAATAATTTTAATAATAAGCGTTGGGATATGAGCAGAAAGATATACTTTTTTCAATAATAAATGCCCAATTATCTTTTGTCTGATGATTATCCTTTATTTTACATACCTCAAGGTCGTTAAAAGTTGATTCACAAACTTTCAGGAACCAGCTGAAGCACTTACCAGAACTCAGTGTGAACGAAAGTGGAATCTGAACCGAGGAAACAGTGTGGGCATTGGCTAGATCAGGGTACAAGTGTCTTAATTACTATCGATCATGATTGAGCATATACGTAATTTCGATCTTGCAACCAATGCCTGGTCACTGTCCCATCTCATATTTACTTGTCTTCATTAAGATTGACTTATAGCGCAGTATGTACAGTTATCGTGTGGTTATGCTGTTAGTCTATCACTCGAAGTAGACGAAGTAAAAGATTTTTTAAGTTCTCTTATTTAAATTTCGAATTCTATTCAGCCATATAATTAGAAGGATGATAACCTGACTAGAGAGTCAATTAGAATGCTCAATAAACTTCCTTTTTTATTTGAAACGCCCATATTTTATTAATGGAATAGAATTAGGTTTACAGAAAACAGAATTAACGTTTCAAGTAATCAGTGTGCTGTATCTGTGGGTGATTTAACACTAGCCAACGCAACATTTAAATAAAATCCTGCACAAGTAGGCCTGTTGAACTTCCAAAATTACAGGTTTGAAATTTAATAAGTCATTTAATATAAAATTAATCATTCAACCAATGTGATGGCATAAATTAGAACGTGGGAGCTATTTTTCATCAAAATCCTCCGTGTCTGAATTAAAGTGGGATTGGCAACCCAAATGTTACAAAATTAATTTACTTATATACATTAGAGTGGCGATTTTCACTATAGAACTAAACACCGACTTTATAATGGTTATTGGCACGAAATTATAAAATTGAATACATTAATCAACGCGTTAGTTAGGTCATGGAAAAGAGCACAAATTTATACGGGAATTCCTGCGTGATGCATGGAAGGAGTTTCCACTAGAGCCGATATTCGAAGCTTGCACAAAAACTCGTTGAAATATAAGCAAATACCTAGTGCAGAAATTACTCAACAACAGACTTCCAAGAGGTGAACCGTAATTACATACTGACCTATAGGATAACGGCATGCTAACACACTTTGTCACTCTCCGTGTGCAATTTGAAATTTCACGCTTCTTTCTGCCAACATCATCACACATCAGCACACCATCAAGCGTTCATAACAACAGAAAATGACTTTTGAAGAACCTGATGCTGATCTCTTAGTGCATTTATTTGATGAAATTAACGAGTCTGAGTCCCGTAAGTTATACATCTTTCACAATTCTCCCTTTCTTCCTTCTAGGCCTACCCACTGAGGAATACTATCATCATCTTCTAAAATGGGGTATTTCAAGGGACAAAGCAAGGGTATTTATTGGTATTGTATTATTCAACTCCTCCATCTTAGAACTATGTTGCTATGTTCGATCCCAAGGGTACTGGCTTTGTGAGACGAGACGATGTTTGTAACGCCTTACACTTCTTCCCAAGCGAGTATGATCCACTTTTAGTCTTCTAACTTCTGTAGACCCGGATTTCTGGCAGATGTGGATGTTCTTTCGAGTGATATGTCTCAGCGAAAACGGGAATCAGTTATTAAAATAATTATCTCCACTCTCGCCATGAAGAAGCCAAAGAAGGTGGGTCACAAACTCTGCTCATTTTTATGTTCTTCCCGTTAAAGGATAGGCTTCGAATTATCAAGCAGAAATTGGACTCTCTCTATGGTGTTGGTTGGAACGTTTACATCGCTGAAGGTCGTTATTGGGCTGTGTGCTCCCACAAACCAGGATCCAATTTAACATTTTTGCATAATGGAATTGTGTATGGCGTTTTCCAAACACCTTCCGAAGCTGATTTCCCGGATGGTGGGCATCAGCATCGTCGTTAGTAAATTAAGCGAAAAGTATTATTGCCGATGATGCACAGTTAATACAGGCAAAATTTGTTGCTTTTACTTATGAGTGGAATTATTGCGCCTTATTTCTATGTAATTTTATTTCCAAAAATATCACTTATTGCTGAAAACAATTGTATATGATTCTCAATAAAATAGGGGGAAGAATATTAGGTAGCTGGTTTAAAACAAAGGTGTACTCAAGCCTCTATTCATAGAAGTACAAAGAAAACTTTTGGAACACTATCTGGAATGCTTTATTGATACGATTTCTACCGAAAAGTAATCAGATAATTTGATTTGACAGACTTTCTTTAGTTTCCAGAATAATAGAAAATGTAATGCTTTAAATAAGAAATTTCAAAATATGCCCACAATGATTTAATTGTTGGTAAGAAAAAAAAGCTATTATTAGTATTATTTGAGTGAGCCTGAAGTTACAAAAACCATTTTTACTGATTGATTGTTATGACCAAAAAAACTGTATTTCCGTGTGAAATATCACCATGGTTAAATTTACTGTAGGGAAATAATGAGGAACAGAAGCTAAGAAAA